AATTAAGGAAGCTGTGCTCTCGCTGTCGCTCGCAAATGTCGTAAATTACGAAATTTTGACAAAATTTACGAACAAAATAAATATATATTAGTATGATTTACGAACACATTTTGTACAAAATACCCTTTGCAAATCGCCCTCATTTAATTGTCAAAACTCCACTGTGATCATCACGTGTGTTACTACGGTTTGAGTGATTGCCATTTTAAAATTAAACAATGTCTCGTTACTTCTAAGATTGCAACAATCATTACACGGTGATCGCGATCAACACAGAACTGCCATTAAATGTATTTTTCCACTCTAAAGTTATTTTGGTGTCATCGCACATGCGTAGTTTAGTCGGCATGTGTTTCAAGATAAAACATTACTCTCAGTATGGGACGGTTTCATGATGCCCTGATCAAACACGTGATTTGTTTATTTATTGAAAATGGAGACTACATCAAAAAAGAGCAGACAACTGCTCGACGAGTATTTTTCACGACGAGATGGAGAAACCACTAAATCGTGTTCAGAACCAGAAACCCATGACAGCACCAAGAAACGGAAAGTTGAGTACTGCAGCACGATTTCAGAAATAATGGAAGGTGAGACAATGTTCGAAACATACAGCATTCTTACCGGACATTCTTAGCATTGACATCGAGTTACAAGACCGAAAGTTACTTTAGTTACTTTTTTCACTTTAATTCAGAAATTTCGATGAAAATAAATAGTCATTTTGTGTCATCATAAACGTCAGCATGCGGGTTTGCATGATGAGCTTGGGAGATTACTTTATTTTAATATACATCTCTTTGATTGGTATAGTTTTTTTTCTGTGGGCGTCAGAGAAATTCCCTGTGAAAGTTTATTCACAGGATTTAACGGCCCAAATATGTCCAGTGCAGTAATCTACTATTTTTTTTTGTGACTCTAAAATTTTATGTCCACTATTTGCAGGATAAATATTTTATAAGAAATGATAATAAACATAATTAGAGCTTAATTTTGTACTTACTAGTGCCAGTGGTATTTATTCTTGAGCTTAAGTTATTATTTTGTTTATTGTGTTTATAATTGTTTTATGTGGTAATATATACCAAATTTCTTATTTCTTTAGATTACTTTTCCATGGTTAGAGTATAATATAGATACTAAAGTAATGACCTGTCTGTGGTGCATTAAAAGTGGAAAGGTGAATTCATTCACCAGTGGATCTGACTAAAGATTACTGCACAAAGCATGCCAGAATTGCTGACCACAAATATGTCAAAAATGACTTGTGTTCTAGGCAGTGACGTTTTGAATGATGACTATTGTTCCCACTGTTAACAATGTGAGCTTATCATGAATATGTTTAATTAATACTGAGTTATTCAAATAAAGGTTCTGGTGTCTACATTGCATATTTTGTTGTGATGTTTTGTTGTACCATCATAAATGGTACATTTTGTGGAGCAGACTGCCTAATTTGATGTCATGAAATTACACAAATTAGAGCTCAGGTTGCACCAGCAAGCACCATTTTCAGCATGCTGTTCTTGTTTTCGGCAGACGACAGAGGGGACATCTCCCTCTCGTTCTGTCTCCCTCGTTGCGCTCGGTCGCGGGAAAATGCTCTGCAGTTTCCAGACAAAGTTTACTAAAACTTTTTTTTCTTGATTAGTAAATTTACTATTACCTAAACAATTCCAGAGAGAGCCCAGGGAAGCCAGTAAAGGTTGGTCTGCTCATAACCTTCAATGGAGAAGTAACAATAATTGTTTGAAGTCTTTTTAGTGCAGTGATATTATTGCATTTCATCATTATTAATGGGTATAAAATACTGTAAACCATTTAATTTTCACTTCTAGATATATTCAGGATTCTATGAAATTTCAATAAAGTCCCTGACACTCCATGTTGTAGGAACCCAGAAAAAATTGCCTTGCAAAATTGAGCAGTTCACAGCACCACTGTAAAAAAAAAAAAGTTTAAAATGAGTATTGTTAAAGATATACACATGTGGGTTCATAAGACATATGT